TTGAGGTAGCAAAGTTAACATACATTCTGTTTATAATTCATACACAACAGATGTGCATTCCCAAATAGGATTTTTTTTTCTTGAAAAGTTAATGGGATTAAATAATTAAAAATTAAACATCATCTTTAGAGGTCATTTTGTTGAATGTTATGAGTACTAGTGTGCCAAATAATAATTGAACAAAGTTAGAATTACACCATAAAATTTTTCTTATTTTTATTTTTTGCTTTTAAAAATTTGTCAGCTCAGAAAGGATATAATATTCTTACTAAAGTCATCAACTAACTCATTCTGTTAATTTAATATTACTCTATTTGGCTATTTGAGAACTTTATTTTCTTCATAAAGTAGCCTTTATAATCACCATTAATTGCAACAGTTTTCTATTGCATTACTGTACATTCGTACTTCATCTAATTGATAAAATTTTAATATATAAAGCACACAAGAGGAGTCTTATTCTAAGTCATACCTTGGAAAATGAATATGCAGATACTAACAGTAAATTTAAATGATGTGGCATTATTTTTTATGATCTTGTTACATAGATTGGATAATGCTAACCTAACGATCATTCATCCCTGGTCATGCAGGAACACCAGAAATGACTTGAAGCTGGCCAAGGGACAATGAAGAAACATGCTTTTGCTTGATAGTTACACCAAAGCCTAGTTTTGGAAACTTTTCAAAAATAATATTCCCATCACACTTTCCAAATCCTGGAGCCCTGGTACCTCATATTATGGTTATTCTTCTATCAGTAATTTGGGATATTGAACACTTAACAGACCAAGTGTCCTTTTTGGCTATTACTGGGTCAAAGGCAGTTTCACGTGGCTCAGTGTAGACTCCTCCAATGAGACTTTTTCAACTTTTGTTTTGACATCATGATTTCTAGAAGATTGCTTTCTGGCTTTCATATTCAAAGGGTATTTTATTTGCTGGGTTTTATTTCTGTTGAATTTTTAGCTTGTCTAGTCTATACTAGAGAGCCTAAATCCAGAGGATGAACTGAAACGAAATGAAAGTAAGTGAATTTTAGCTTAGTGAGATATCCCAGATAGTAAATGAAATATAAAAAGATAATTTTTAAAAGTCTTAAGAAAAACTATGGCAAGCAAATTCACAGTTTTGTCATGTAATGGTCTCTGCTTATGGCATAAAAGTTTGAGGGATGGAGTGCTTTCATGATGTCAAACATACAAGTTTAAGGATATATTTTTAAATTCTTAATTTCATAGGTTAATATACAGCAGCACCTCTTCTGTCTGGCATTGGATAGGGGCAGGGAATTAAACATGAACAGATACTTTATCTGAAACCAATTTTATTGTAAATATTTGTAAAGGAACTCTAAATACATGGCATGCTTTCCCGTCTTACTGAATAGTTGTGATTTATCCTTTTCTAAGTTATTGTGGGACATCGTGAATACTTATTGTCACCCTAGTCACTGAACACTCATGTTGTTGCATTCAGGAGACTTTGGAAGTATGGGAGCTTCTGCACACACCACGGTTGTGTTGCTTGATGATAGGATAAATAGAAGTGCCCTCAGGAGCACTTCTCTCTTCCTTTCCCCTTTTCCCCATTTGGCACAGTTTTTCACTGCTATTCTCCAATGGAAAATAAGGGAAATTTTTCTTAGAACTCATGCTTCTTGGATTTATAACCTTCCCAATTTTGGTGACGGTACCTGTAGTCTAGAGTACCCATTTTATGCAAATATATCTGTTTCAGATAAATCACAAGAGGAGAGGAAATGAGGGTTGTCTGCTGGGCACAGTGCTAAGTGGGCACCTAGCCTTGTCCCACTTAGTCCTCAGCTCTGCATGGTAGACTGGCCCATCCCATCTTGAGGACAAGGAGACTGAGTGTGAGGGGTGAGATGGTTTGTCCAGCCTACAGAGGCAGTGTGAGGCTGAGAGGCAGGACTGGAACCCTAGTCTACTTCCTGTCTCTGGATTTGCCTGAGAGAGAAAATCTCGTAAAAATAATTTTATTAACTGGACATTTATTTACCTGTCCACAAACATAATGTGATTCTTCCAAAAGACATAAGCACTCCATTATTTTTACATGAATAAAAGTCATCCATATATAATTGACTGAGGAACTTCTCTTTTTGATTTACTGAATTTTAAAAATTATATTGGGGTTAGTAAACAAAACAGCTTTAAAGATAGTGTTGAGCTAGTTCAAAACCTAGAGAATGCCAGCACCCTTAATTACTTCTATCTGTTCTTCTGTTTTTGATTTTTCACAGAGCTCAATGAGCAGCTGACACATCAGCAGATGCTCTGTTAAGGAAGCTGTATTTTATTTTGGTGACAGAAAGAGACTTACAATCCAGTTTTCTTCCTGTCTAGTCTCCTTCTCTTTCCTTTTTATGTCACACAGGCTTTCCACATGTGCCCAAACCATTTGGAAGATGTTTATAGAAGTATAGATCATTGTTCCTTATTTCCATGTTCTCTCCCATTTTTGTAACCGCACATTAAATTGACATGTTTAAATTTTTTATTGTATGAATACTGAAATAATAGGCTAAGAGAGAAGAAAGAAAACTTTTAAAAACTTTCAGTTTTATGTTGAATAACAAATGTAAATGTCCCATATTTCACAGCGAAGGCCTTTATTGTGAAGTAGGCCATAAATTCTAGGCAGCATTTTTAGCTTGAGTACTTTGTGTATTTAAATAGCTCTAGTCAAAGTACTGAATAAGAATTAGTGGTTTCCAGATATAAATATGCTTTAAGGAGCTCAAGTTGGAGGAGAAGTGGTAAAAATGAACACTGGTAGAGTTTTGTTGTTTGTATTTTAAATTTTACTGTGGTGTGAATATAGATAGTGGAGCACACAGTTCTTAAATGTGCAACTTGACGAATTTTTACATATGCTATGTATCTACAGCAATCACCACACAGATAATACACAGAGTATCTCGACACCTAGGAGGCTCCTCTGTACACCATTTGTCAGTTACAGCTCTCCAAGAGGTCATCACTACTCTGACTTAGATCACCATGGAGTTGTGGCACCTACCAACAGAACCTAATAGTAGTCACTTGTGGCTGGCTTCTTTTACTTGTAATTGTATCTGTGAGATTCATTCATATCGTGTATAGTAGTACTTTTTTTTTTTTTTTTGCTCTATAGTATTCCATTATATAAATAAGGCACAACTTAATTATCCAGTCATTTGTTTATGGAGCTTTGAGTTGTTTGTAGTCTTTGAAACATACAGTTTTCTTAGCCTAAAGCCGCTGAGAACATTCTTATACTTATTTTTTGGAATATATGTACTCATTTTTCTTGGGTCATAAGGTTTTATAATATTATAAAAATTAACAGTTTTTTTAATTAAAACAGCCAGAATGCCAAGCCCGCCTCCCCAGAAATTTTTAAGTTCACATAAGCACATAGGTACCTCTTTGATTGTATAATAGAGACAGGGAAATAACATTGACATCACAGCCACTTCTGCAGTGGTGAGGGTTAGGTCACACATTCAGTCCTTCGGTCAACAGCAAGCGCCATGCCAGTGACTGGAGATGAAACAGTGACAGATAGCCACATACCCGGCTTTCCCCAGCCTATGAGCAAGTCATTCGAACACAATGTGTAGAGCGCAGCGATGAAATGAGACTTATCAGGGTGAACTCAGGACAGGGCACCCCACCTAAACCTGGGTAGTCAGTGGAGGCATCCTGGAGGAAGTGACATCTGTACTGGGTCCTAAAGATTGAATGGGATTGGTCAGAAGAAGGGGGGTGTACGGAGAGGTGCAGGGCAACGAGAGTCTTTAAGGTGTCCTTCAGGCTTGGCAATGAAGACACTGAGTGGCCTGGCAAGCAAGGGCTTGATTCCGAAGGCCTTTTCGGAATATTTGGAGTTTTGGAATATTTGGGAGTTTTGACATCCACCTCGGGTCAGAAGCAAGTTGTCCATACCTTTTTATCACAGGAAACTTCAAACACGCGTAGAGAGAGTAGTAACATGAGCCCTCATTTACGCATCCTGCCATCCTGCAATTACCAGCTCCTCCATCCCCCATGCATTGTTGAAGCGATTGTGAGACATCAAATCACCATTGAAGACTTGTAGCAATTTGGGTGCTTCTCATTTACTTCCAGTCACACAAAGATATTTGTCTTTCTGCACCATCTACTATTTGTAGTTTGCATTTTTTTCAAACAGTATGGAAGCAGGATTAAATGTTAAAATTATTTTATGTATTTGTTTTCCCACGTAGATCAGTTGGTTAATTTGCACTCAAAAATACTATTAATGAACATTTTGGCTCCTACAACTATAAAAATGTCATAATCAATAAAAGGTTTGTTTCAGGGATTTGGCCTCCATAATAGCCAAGATACAAGTATTTGGAAAGTAGAATTAGATTTATGGTTTTACTATGAGTATTTTTTACAGATTCAAGTTGAGAAATTTACTATTTTGGTTTTGTGGCTAAGGTTTTGTTACATACCTCTTGAAATGTTTTTGCTTATTGAGAATTAATGTAGATTGCTTTTATGACTATCATAGCTGTCTGCGGGCCCCTAAATTAAACATGTCTTCCTGTAGTTAAGAGTATTTGCTTCCTAGGTGTTTTAGTTTCCCTTTTTTAAAAGGCATTTCAGTGGACAGTAACTGCTGTAGCACGTTGGGATAGAACTACACTCGTGCATTCGTTTTGTGAGAACCAGTAATCTTAATTCCAGTCAGGTCGGAAACCTTTGGCCACTGAGACTGGTTCTTACATTTTTGAAGGGCTGTTTTTAAAGAAGAGGAGAATTTGTGATAAAAACCATATGTGGCCTGCACATTTGAAATACTTACTTTCTGGCCCTTTCTTTACAGAAAATGTTTACCAATCCTGATCTAAATCAGTATAATTTAAAATTCTTGGTGCACGCTTTTTTTCTTTTGGAAATACTTCTATAAGATCTGATTTGGAATTAACATTTGAAAATCAAAATTTTCATTGTCTTCTACAGAGAAGATGGTGAATTAGAAGATGGTGAAATAGATGATGCAGGATTCGAAGAAACACAAGAACAGGAGGCAAAACAGAATGAGAAGCAGAAAAATGAGAAAGCCTACAGAAAGTCAAGAAAAAAACACAAGAAAGAAAGAGAGAAGAAAAAATCCAAAAGGCGGAAACGTGAGAAACACAAGGTCAGTCAGAATCTACTTCTTAGTCTTTTGCTAAATTTTTATGAAACATAAAAAACAAAAATTAGAAATTATAAATCATTGCCTATTTTCTTACAAAACATATAGATTAGATCTTTTTATTTATATGATTAGTAAATTCTCTGAACATGAAGATTATACAGATTATCTTAAGGATTCAAAAAATAAGCAAGGTAGCTTTTAATGCGAATTAAAATGTCTTTTTAATTGATGATAACTTGCAGGATGCTGAAGCTTAAAGGAAAAAAAGTTTCATTCTCTGCAGGTACTGATTAATGCCATTGACATTGTCCATTCATTCATTCACTCACTGACTTGCTGTGGAGGTCTCTGCTGTGTGCTGGGGGTTATAGTAATGAGTGAAACAGTCTCTGCTCTTACAGAGATTACATTGAAAAGGGAAGGAGAGAGACAGTAAACAAATGCAAAGCAAATGCTATCGAGAAAATAGCAGGGTGCTGGACAGATAGTGTGGGTTCAGGAGGAGAAGAAAGGAAGCCTGTGCTGACAGAACTCAGGGGAGGTTGGCAGGTGGTGGGGTAGTTTTTGAAATTCCCTGAATTTCCGCCATAGAGACAGAGCAATTAGCATAGCAAAGTGCAAAATTCATTGGCAACACCTACAAAAAGAAAAAGTAAGGCATTATCCCCACATATGTCAGAAGAACAAATGGATAAGACCAAACCACAGACAGCAACTGTGAAATGGAGCTGAGGAAAGGTAAAGGAACTTCCCGAAAACAGATTGCCAAAAGGTGTTCGTCTCAGATGGCAGAGTCCCCAGTGAACACGGACAACCTTTGGGCCCAACTGAGAACAGCAGTGGAAGCTGGGGATGCTTCTCCAGTCCTAGTTCACAGGTAAGCATAAGGAGACCACGTTAAGCTGGATGGTGCTGCAACAGAATGGGCCTCATGGACACCTAACGCTTATCACCCAATCTCTTTCCGGGCACAGAGCCCCACTCCCAGGACATGACTGCTGGGAGCAGAATCTGAACTGAGAGGACAAGTGTGCCAGGGCCAAGGAAAGAAATGGCCAGATGAGAATGGGGACAGAAGCAGGGGTGCTGCATCTCATGGTGTGTGTTTTAGGGCTTCAAGCCAATTGCAGAAGACACAGCCCTGGGGAAGCGACGCTATGAAAGCTTCCTGTCCCCTTCCTCTTTTCACACCTGAGCACAGGTGAGACCATGATCACATTTCATGGAAGTTGTTATTATAAAAAGAGAATAATGAAGAGAATAATATTCTTCTAGAGAAGAAAAACTGTCCACAAAACATGAAAAACTTAATATTTCAAAATGATTTAAAAATTTAACAAAATGGTAGAGACTGTGATCAAACAGCATAAATAGAATTGGGGGGAAAGTTATTTGGTTATCTAGGAAAAAAGATCAAGTCCCTTATTAAGAAAAGAAAACCAGATTTATATAACAAATTTCAATATCACCATTTTATGCCAGAATATAATGTAAGCCAAAGATTTATATCCAGCTGAATGCTGACCTTCAAATAGAAAGTCTTCAGAAACACTACCTATAGTAGAACTCAGGAAATATCGTTATCATGAGCCTTGCCATAGGATCTACTAGAGAACAAATTCAGAAAACCAAAATGACTGAAAAAGAGAGTAATAACACACACGCACGCACACGCACACACACATGTATGTACTTGTAAAACTCAGACTAAATGATTAAACTTCAAATTATTATCCTGGGAATGAAAGAGAGAAAGTAGAAGAGGTTACTGCCTTTTTTCAATATTGGTCCTATTAATAAACAAATAGTATTCAAAGAAAGGACAAGGACTCAGGTTATTGGGAAAAGGCAGTATGAAGGGAATAATTGAAACAAAAGCACAAATCTTTCTAAATACCAAAAGATATACCCCCCCAACAATGCAAAATTCAACTCTAAGCTATGCACAAGAGAAAGATTTTAAAAATAGGTAAAGCTATACCAGGCAAATGCAAAGAGAAAGCAGAAATCACAGTGTTGATATCTGAAAAAAATTTAGGTCATAAAGGCATTGAGAGAAACAAAGAAGGACGTTTTATAATGTTAAAGCTTACAATTCACAATGAAGATATCAATTATTAATATTTTACATCTCCCCAAACACAACTTTCATCAAGCAGGAACTGTAGGAACTACGAGAAGAAACAGGAACACATGAATAACAGGAAATGCACCAGAATACCTGTGTTAACCTAAAAAGGTAATCAAGTGATGGAAAAGTGGTGAGGATATTAAGGAAGTATTATAAATGTGTAGGGAGCTCTGAACGCTGAGAACACACTGCCCTCTCAAGTTTACTTGGAATATCCGTAAAGACAAACTGTGTTGTAGGGCACAAAGAAACTCCAGTTAATTTGATGGAGTAGAAGTAACAAAGAATAACATTAAACCGCAACGCAATGAGACTAGACGTTAGTAACAGTCAAAAAATGAAAGTGCCTTTCTGTTTTATGATTCACACTGTTGCTGTGACTCGCTTGTGGAACATTAGGGAAACAGATTAAAACTGCAGAATTTCATGAAAGTAATGATAATAAAACCTTGACATATAAGTATCTATGAAATATAGCAAAAGCGATTATCAGAAGAGAAATTATAGAATTATAGTATTAAAAGCTAGAAAACAGCAAAGTGAGACAAAAGAAATGGAAGGACTCAATAAACTTACAAGCAGAACTTAATGAATTAGAATGAAAAAAGTTTTTTTTTTTAAAAGATCAGCAACATATATGAATCACTGGCCAAACAAATCAAGAAGAAAAAGGAAAATAAAAAATAAAATTAGATGTTTTGAGGCTAAGAACTTTGAGAACCGTCCCATCCTGGCTCCTTTTTGTAACAGCCTTGCTGTAATTTATCCACCTTCCCTCCAGGGCAGGTACTTTCGACATTGCACTTGGAGATCCTGACCCCAAGCATCTGGTTCATCTCACAATCTCTGCTTTCCGTGTTTCTGCATGTAACTGAGTTCCTACCACTGCATAGCAAGGCTCTCCCTCTTCTCAGTTTTAGTAAAACGTCTCACTTTCCTTTAAATTGCCTCAGAATCCAAAGTTTTACTAACTGTCATTCAGTGCAGCTTAGTCTTCCCCGTACATGCCTCTGAAGTCCTCGTTCCCATCCACTACCTCGTCCCAGAGCCACTGCTGCCCTTCAGACAGACACAGTGATCTGGTAGTGACTGCTGGCACACTGTTCAGTGACTTAACCCACAGTCATTCACCTCCCCGTTTCTGGGGGTCAGGAGTTTGGATGTGCTTAACAAGGTGGGCTGGCTTGGCATCTCTTGTAAGGTGGCAGTAACCTGCAGGCCCGACTGAGGCACAATCCTCTTCCCAGTGTACCTATGGCTTCTGGTGAGGCGCTGTCCCTTGTAGGTGGACCTCTGCATGCTGCCTTGGCATCCTCGTGGTGTCAGCTGGCCTCCTCCCCAACAAGAAGACCAAAAGTGGGAGGGCAAGGGAGACCCGTGGCCATAGCTAGAGTCTCTGTGAGCTCATCCGGGGGCCACAGGCCACCACTTCTGAGTTTCTAGTTGCTGGAAACGAATTTCTACATCTGGCTCATACTCAAGGGGAGAGGAATCAGTTTCTACCTCTTGAGGGTAGGAGGAATGATGGATTTATGGACTTGTCTTTAAAACTGCCACCAAAAATAGATAGGAAAACCCAAAAAGGAAGACTGCGTGGGGTGACCCTTGCATACCACAGCACAGTGAAGCCTTGGTTATGGGAGTGATGCGATATCAGGTGTGGGAAGATAGGCCGGACGCTGGGGCAGCAGAGACAACTTAGAAAGAGACTAAAGGCACGTGAGGGTTAGAGTGTGGTTGGGGGCATCTGAAACGGTGTGAAGAGATGCACTTTTAATAAGACTTGGATAGTGACATGGACATAAATGTGGTTCATTTCTCGCATCACGGATAATTCCAGATAGGTTAAAGATTCAAATGTGAAACAGTGAAACTGTACAAGTATCAGAATAAAACATGGGTGAAGCCCTCCACCTGGGAGCAGAGAGCCTTTCTTAACCATGATCTGAGGTCCCAGAACACTGAGGAACCAATAAACCTGTCTACATAAAAATGTAAATGTTCGATAAGTGTGTCCTTTTAACTCACAGTCTGCACCCCCGCTCCTCCCCCCGCCCCTGCCGACACACACACACTCAAGGGTCTGCAGTCCAACAGAACTAGGACAAGAAGCACGAGATCCCATGGGAGTAGGAAGGACCCATTT